ATATATATATATATATATAAAATTGTCTCTGGATATATCTTGGCGGATAAATACAATGCAATTTTCTAGAAGAAAACAAATTCAACAATGGTTTACAGAAGAATATGGAATACAGTGTAAGTTAGAATGTTTCGAATTATTTATTTGCATAGAAGAGACACGCTGGCGGCTGATGTAACACTAGTACATATTCTACAACGTTAGGGTCTACTGTCTACAAGTTAGACAAAGATAGCTTATTGGAATATCGGAAAAATACAGTGTATTCAACTTCATTTTCACTCGTGGCGGGGGCCTCTGATAATCTTATTGATTAAAATAATTTAATTATGAGGGATAAAAACTTATAAAATTCATGGAAAGTTTATACATATTTGAGATCTCACTCTGCAATAATTTTTTAAAAAAAATATATTTGTAAGAACCTATATAATATAATAAGTCATATTTTAAGCATTTGAAAAAAAATAAATTTATCTGATTATAAAACTTGTATTATAAACGTATTTGATTCATTTGAAAAAACTTACGAATCCTTAATGTATCAACAAGTCTTTAGTCGATCATATAAAATTTCTAAATAAATTAAGTCAAATTTAAATAAAAAATTATATTCAATAACATGTCATATACGTAAATTTATTTAAAAGAAAATCTGCCTTGACCTAAACTTTTGTCTAATTCAAATTATCCATGCATAAAAACGACAAGAATGAATGTACCCTCAAAAAAACAAGACGACAATGAATGTGATTTAAAAAAATGTATAAATTTTTTTTTATCATTAATGGGTGTATAAGCACCGGACATTATCAATACTTCCATTGGAGTAAATAAATAAAAAACCGAATCAGACTTGTCTGTCCGTCCAACACTGGACCCGTCCCGTATCTATCATTGGTATTGGTTGGCTATGGGTTTTTTATTTTACACCAACAATTCATTGTTTGCATATTCGCTTACTTCACTGGGATGTAAATGAAATTAATTTAACTTTCCATCGATAAAGAGGATACTTTCTATTTTTAACTGTTTCTTCTTCTTCTATTTTTAATAAAACTATTTTATCAAAAACTTCTATTGAATAAAGATAAAAATACATTTTTTGTTTTTTATATTATTTATTAGTGTTAATTTAGTCCCACTTTAATTAATTGAATCAATTTAATCTCATATCTTTAAAATGTATCTTAATGTTTGACTTTTTGTTTTCTTCATTTAAATACATAACAGATCTGACACGTGTCATGTTACCATGTCACATGTCATGTTATCATGCCACGTGTTATGTTATCATGCCACGTGTCATGTCATCATATCACATGTCATGGCATGTGTCAAGTCACGTACCGTGATGTCATGTCACATGATATGATAACATGATACGTCGTATAACACGTGTCACATCCGGTAAGTATTTAAACAGAATAAATGAAAAGTCAAATATTAAGATATATTTTAAAGGTGTGAGACTAAATTTATTTAATTAATTAAAGTAAGACTAAATTAAATCTAATAAATAATATAAGACACGAAAAGTATATTTTTATCTCGAATAAATTTAAGTTACATTTTTATTACAAATAAAAGCTCCTGTTACTTAAAAATAAAGCGAGGCAAGGCAGAGAAATGGTAGAGGAAGGTGTTGTATGCGACGACGCAAGGCAGATATGATAAATGTTTGGGAGCGCCACACGCTGACGCTGACGCTGACACCATTCCTTTGCGGATGGGATTGCGTTTGGTATGAAATAATAATAATTAATCCATCAATTGAACATGAACATAGCCAAAAGTAACTGTATAGGAATAGGACTGTAAGTGGTTGTTGGAAAAACAAATTACATATATCTTTAAATTACACTCACGTGCCTAAATTATATACACTCATCCCATTATGTATATGTAGCGAAAATGATTCATTTACTAGAAGTAGATTTGAGGCACTAGGTCCTTTATGAAATAAGAAAAGAAAAAAAAGGAAATGGTGATAAAATAATTGGAAGACATATCCATCCTCTTTGGCCAACAATTTGAACTGGACTATTCACTATAACTAACTCAGTAATATTTTAGATGGATGGAGGAATATTGGGTCGTTTTCTAGGGGTATATAAAGGAGGCAAGGACATTGAAAGAATCAAGTGACACTACTTGAAGCTTAGATGGATTTAGAGTTGGATTCCACTTTCTTCCTAAACCAGAACCCTAACTTGTTCTCCTCTGTTTCGGGGGACCCATTCTCCTGGGACTACCACTTCGCTTTGGACGACATCTTCAACTCCTCTTCTCGGAGCAGCGTGGAGTCGAATGAAGTCTCGTCTGACGAGAAGGCGAAAGAAGGAGAGGCGGCGAAGGGGAGGAGGATGTACAGAGGAGTGAGGAAGAGGCCGTGGGGGAAGTTCGCCGCAGAAATAAGGGACTCCACGCGGAACGGCGTGAGAGTGTGGATTGGAACGTTCGAGACGGCGGAGGCGGCGGCGCTGGCGTACGACCAGGCGGCGCTTTCGACGAGGGGGTCGATGGCGGTGCTGAATTTCCCGGAGGAAGTGGTGAGGGAGTCGCTGAAAGACAGTAAGCCCTTGGAAGAGGGTTCCTCCCCTGTGTTGGCGCTGAAGCGGAAACACACTATGAGGAGAAAGTGGAGTTGTAAGAAGAAGAGTAAGAGCAAGAGCACGAGCACGAGCACGAGCGAGCAATTAGGGCAGAATGTGCTGGTGTTGGAGGATTTGGGTGCTGACTACTTAGAACAGCTTCTCACTTTGACTTCCTCCTAGCTTCTCTCTTCATTCTTTTCTCCTCTGTTTTTCCACTTCTTCCTATACAAACTTCTATTTTCTAATTTTATTCTTTCCATCAACGTCTAATATTCCTCTTTCTCCTTCTCCTTTTTACTCATTTCTCCTAGGGATGGCAAAACGGCCAGCGCGCCCGTTTTGGCCGGCCCGCCATTGGCCCGCCAAAAACGGGGCGAGCCGGGCTGGCCCGTCAATGTAAAACGGGTTGAAAATGCTGGCCCGTCCCGCCTAAGATCGGGCTGGCAGGCCGGCCAGCTTACAAAATAAAAAATAAAAAAAAAATGGAAAAAAAAATATTTTATGGTCAAATAAAAAAAAATTGCTACAAATAAATAAATATAACCATATGAAATTAAAAATGCATACATATTGTACATAATATATGTTCAACAAAAACAAATTACAAACTTAAAACAAAATCAAATAGAAATTAGTCCATTTACACCAAAATCAAAACTAAATTATAAACTTACAAATTATTTATAAACTAAATTTTTTGATAGTCCACAAACAAGTTTAAATACAATTAATTAACTTTAAATTTTTATTTTAAGAATATTAGAAGCTCTCTTGAAAGAAGATGTCTCTACTTTTTTTCTTAATCATCTTCATCCTCATCTTCTACATCAAAATAAAATAAACATAAAAATAATTAAATTAAAAAATATATATATATGCGGGCCGGCGGGTTGTGGCGGGCCGGCCCGCTATTTGGCCCGGCGGGTTGGCGGGCTTGGCGGGGCGGGCTTGGCGGGTTGGCGGGTTGAAATGCTTGGCAGGGCGGGCTTGACGGGTTGAAATAGTTGGCCTGGCCCGCCAATTTTTGACGGGCCAACGAGCCGGCCCGCGGGCCATGGCCCACTTTGCCATCCCTAATTTCCCCCTTCTCACTTTCTCTTATCCAAACATTGGAAAACAACACATAGATGAATCACGTAAAATGTGAAGACATATTTAATATTTTAGTAAGATTAAATATATTTTTATTTTTAAATATTTAATCATGCATACCATGTAAAGATATTTTTAGACATGATATCTTATGAGTGTACTTATACGTATAAAAGTAAATATGTTATTTGTGATACGACAGTTAGTACGAAAAAAGTACATAAGATAAACGGTTTATTTTATTTTATTGAAATGATAAGTTGATGAAAAATATTTAATAAAATAATTAATATTTCAACGTTCATTTTTTTCCTTTGAAAAAAAAAATGATTAGTAATACAAGATAAATAATCTCTAACCATCGAATTTTAAGAAAGTCTATGAATACTTTCTTAACAGAGAATCAAGAAGATGTTTGATGAAAACTTTGTAATTGCTTAAGTCTTATATACTTTCTTTTTCTTTTGTGAGAACTTTGAGAATAAAACTTGTATCTAAATTTGTACATCCATGAAATAGTCAATGAACTTTGCCCTAATCTTATTTCAAGTGAAAAGTTAAAAGCTTGAAGAGACTTTGATAAAAAAAAAAGAATATTTGTTGCATTATTTGAAGAAGTAAATCAAAGAATATTAGACATTGAAACTTCAAGAGGCTTGGTGCCAATAATCTTTGTAACTTAATTTTAAGTTAGTGAAAACTTTATAGTATTACCAATAAATAGACTATAATCTTGGGTTAAAGATGAATCGATATAAAAACTTTCAAATTTTATTATTGAAATCGTTCTTCAACAAGTGATATTCTTTGGTAACTATATATGTTTTTGAACACTTGGTGAGTGTGTGTATATCATGAAGAGGTTTGCATAAAAGAATAATATTTGTATGAAGTACTTGGAGAGACAATTGTAACTAATATTTTGGTTGTGAAGAAACATTATTTTAACCTTTCTTTTGGTGCAATCACGATGAAGTATAAGAATTTGATGTAGTCTTTGTTAGTGAGATGAACAATTTGTTAATGAGATGAACAAGTATAAAACTTCATGTACTTTCTTCTATCTCCCTACTTACACATATTTTGATGTTATAAACTAACTTCAACAAAAAAAAAAGAAACTTAAATGTGTTTACAAAATTGTGTCATTAGTGCATGAAGAATACTTTACATCGGTTAAAAAATGTTCTACATAGGTTATGCAATCAATGTAGATATTACTGACATTAAAAGAAATGTTATGATATATAAAAAAATATTATTATAGGTATAATATATATATATATATATATATATATATAATTACACATAATATTAATTAATTTTGAATAAGATTTAATAATATATTTTATATATTATAACGTATATTTATACTTTTTAACTGTAACGACCCGCCACGGTCTCTACACTTAGTGGAATCGCACTACAACTAGTTAACTAAGAGAATATTAAACTGGATAACACATACATACAGGCATAAATATAAAGATCGAAATAATTAAGTTTCTGTATATAAAATATAGCACCATATTATATATATATATATATATATTTGACATATAACTACATATAATTTTAGTGTTAATTTTAATTGAGATTTAATAACATATTTTATGTGTCCCTATAACCTATTCTCATACTTTTTAACAATATATCAACATATATTATATTTATTGTGTGGGTAAAAGTAATTTTTAGTGATACGTGTTGTGTCACTATACAATATGTATCACTGTATGATAATCTTCTTGTAGTGTGATATAGATAAAACTGTCAAAATAAGTATAATATGGTATATTGACTTTATTAGCTTGATAATTTAGATGGATTAGACCGTAAAAAATCAAGTTTGAGAATAAATTTAATTCAATTTAACTCAATTTTTCACTAACTTAAGTGGATTAGATTATGGACCAAATTATTTTTAATATTTTTTTTATAATTGTTAAAATAATAAATGATAGATTTAATATTATAGATACTGTTAATATCCATTTAAGTTAATACTTTATGCATATTGAATTGTATTTTTAATTGTTTTGCATTTATGTATCGTTACAATTAGTATACTTTATTCTATTTGTATTATTATGTATTATATTTTTTCCTATTTTATAGTATAAATAGCCATCTATATTTTTTTTAGTTTACAGTGATTTAAATCTGTTTTATTAACTTATTATTAAAAAAACTAATTTATACACTAAACAAACACTTATTTTGTAATTAAATAAATAAATTAATTAACTCACTATAGGTCCAGTTTTTGGTAGGAAATTTGAATAATATATGTGTGGAGAGTTACAAGTTCTAATATCATATTATACGGAAAAAAAATAAGATAAAAAGTAAGAAGAAATGAGAGAGGTCTTCTATTTTTTTAGATGAATGAAAATATAAGAGAAAAATAAGAGATGGAAGTTAGACCCACAAGAGAGAGAGAAAAAAATCCCCTCAATGAATCAGGGAGGTTTTTCATTTTTCTTTTATTTTCTCTTATATATTTTTTTCTTGTTAAATAATAAAATTATTTATATAACATAAAATAAATAATTTTATATTAAAAATAATATAATAAAAATTTCAAATTTTTAAGTTAAATATTGTTTGCTAATTGTTATAAAAAAATTTATCATTATTATGAAAAGCTAATTATAAAAAGGTTTAAACAAGTAAAGGAAAATTCTTTTTTCTTTTTATCCATCTAAATAATATATTTTTATATCATAACTTTTTCTTTATTACACTTTTCATTCAAACACACATCAATCTTAAATCACCCGCACAATGTTAAAATGGGTTGGGCCCTGGGCTTTCCCAATAAAAGTAGCGCATCCAACGGAGGAACAAAGCTTTTATATTATAATAATAACGTATTTCTTTTCTTTATTAAAAGGGGGATTATAGACCACTAGAGTTAGCTTAGTAGTTAAACAAAAGAGATTAAAATAATTAGAAGCATGAGAATCTAGGTTCAATTCTCGTTTGCGAGAAACTGAAAACCTATTTTGTACCAAAAAATGATTTGGGCATGTTTTAGGGGTTAGTCATGGATGCACCTTTTTTCCCCTGTTGATAGGGCTGGTCCATGTCATAATAGGGCTTTGACCCATTTGTCGTAAGTAACACTAACCCAAAACCCAGCTTGCGTACCTGATATTTGGGTTAATTGGCGTATCCATAAAATAGAAAATAACAATGGAATCAGATACCCAACCAAAAACAGGATGACGAATGATTTACTATAAAGAGTGTAAGCGACACGGTATCCAATTCACCCAAATCAATTCAATGAATTTAAATTAAATTTTTTAATGTTAGTGTTAAATCTAATTTAATTTAATAAAAAATTAATATTGTTTAGATTGGATAACAAATTTTGTTTTTTTACTTATGATTCAACTCAATCCAATCATAATTTTTATTTTGATAGTACAAATACAAATACCCTGATATCTAATATTACAACAATTTATTTGCGCTACATTTTGTCTTCTTTTTTTTGTTGTGTTATTTTATAAGTACTTTTAAAATAAATAAAAAACATTTTTGTACTCATGTTTCCTTTTCTTTTTTTACATATGAAAAGGAATGTACATCTTATCCAAATGTGATGGGTTCCCAATTCCCAATTCCCAATTCCCAATTCCCATACCAATAGCATACCAAACCTGGTTCAAAGTTGAAATTTGTGCATTACTCATACGTGTAACACAATTAGGCACTGATGAACTTTTTGGTAAGTCCTAACAACCAATTTATTAGTGCTCTCTTCCATCAATCCAACCTTTTCTTTTCTTCTCTTTCCAAATTGCTTTCTTCCGCTGACAAAAATATCTCAGCTTCATTCCGCCTCCAATTTGGACCGTGCCAAAACCAATTTCTCAAGTTCTGAAGTTACTACTAAAATTAAATTATTAATGCTTTTATGATTTGTTCAAATACCATAAAATCTACAACTTATACCTTATGCATGAGATTTGCTTACTTTATAAATTAGCTAAAAAATTATTAATTACAAACTAACCAAACACTTATTATAAGTTTATAACATGATTATATTAAAAATATTTAATAAATTAATTGATTGATTGATTGATTATTGTAAAACGACATAAAATTATTTTTATAATATTGATGAGAGAATGACATAATAGATAAAATAATTTTTATTTAAAAGAAATATGTAAATTAATAAGAATTTTTATTTTAAAAGATATAATTTTTTAAAATAAATTATGGTACCAAATAAATTTATTTTAATTAAATTAACTTAAAAATTAGTCAAAAAAACATATTTTAACTAAAATATTAATTTCAATTTTTGTAGTTAAATAAATTAATTCAGTTTATACATAATTAGATTAAAAGTGTTAGTAAATAAAAAAAATTGTCAATCCCATTTTCTATAAGAAGGTCAATTGCAATTCCAGTCGGTAAGCAAATGGAGA